CAGGCTGTAATGGATGCACAGGATTCAGGAGAGGCAGGGAGCTCCCATTGCTCAGTGCAGATCCAATTGCTGTGATGAATGGCAGCTGTCATGAAGTAGGACAGCCAAAGGCTTGTAGGAAAAGTGAAGCCTTGCATTCTTATGTGCACAACCATGCCAAGAGTGGTAGAGGTGCACGTCCTTCTGCCAGATTCAGGAGATGTCCAAAGAGGCTCTGCCTCATGTAAATCTGAGCTTCATTTTCTTCGACGGTCACTACCGCCAGGGGAACTGTTAGAGTTGTGCCGTGTTTGGCATCTCAGGAAAAGTTTGACCGGCTGATCAGATGGTTTTTCCTTTACGTGGTTTGTAGTTCTATAGCTGTGTCCCTTAGGCACTGATCGTTGGATTTTCCTCCTGGAGTACTGAAAGCAGGATGGATAGTACGAGGTGCCCCCTCCATCTTCAACCTAGCAATTACTGGATTCCTCCAAGTAATTGTTTCTTTGTTTTAGCTTCACAATACCTCCCTCTCTCTGAGGTGGACAGAGCCACCTTTCTCCAGTTAGAAGATGAGAAAACTAAACCACCCAGGACTGCACAACTGTTGCAATACTGGAGTTATCCAGGTCTGTCTAAACCAATCAGCCTGCTCACTCTCATGCCGTCCATTGTAAGATGTTTCAGGCACACAAACTAGAGAATACTATTAAGGATGCCCAACTATTCATGATCTACTTTAGAAAACATAAATGTTGCTGACGCTTTCTGAGCATCGTCATTTGCATCATCTCCTGCGTCATTGGCTTTTATCACAGTAAAGGTGATTCCGTAAATCCTCAGGAGGCACCGGCATTGTGGTCCAGGCTCGTGAGGCAGCCATTCCACATCAGCACCTTCAGGTCCCAGCAATTCTGCTTCCAATCCTCTCCCTGCTAATGTGCCTGGGAGGTAGTGCACTCCGTTACCCACACAGGAGACCTGAATGGGGTTACTGACGCCTGACTTTAGCTGGGAGTGAACAAGTATGTGGAATATCTTTATTTCTCCTTCCCTCTGTATAACTCTTTCAAGTAAGTAAATTATAAGTAATTTATATAATAAAATTAAATTATTATAAGTAATAAACTTTGAAATAACTAAATCTGTTAACAGCAATCCCCGGGAAAGCCCTTAAATGGAACGCATCTGGGAAGACAGCAAAAGATGGCCCAAGTGCTGGGGCCCCTGCCAACCATGTATCAGACCAGGATGGAGTTCTTGTCTGATCTGGCCCTAACCTGGCTGTTGGGGCCGTATGAGTGAGCCAGCCAATGGCTCTCCCTCTATGTCCTGCCTTTTAAACAGAATCAACAAATCTTTTTTTTCCTTAAAAAAAAAAAAGGAAAGAAAACCCTTTGGGTAGAACTTGAAATACTGGTGTAGGAATGCAGAGATGTGGTCTTCTCTCAAGGAGCAGAAGCTTGTAACTTACAGGAATTTGAGTGTTGTGGAATTTGAGTGTTTCCTGAGATCTGACACACACACACACACACACACACACTGGGCTGGTGTCATGCATACAATAGAAAGAGTTGACTTATCCCAGGTGAAGTTAATGTAACCTAGAATTACAGAAACAGGGAAGATAGGTTCTTCCCTCAACAAATCCATGCTGCTCTTCAAAAGCATAGAAGAGAATAACATACACTGATGAGTTAGGTTTTTAAGAATGTATTTTTAAATATTAGAGGCAACCTCCTCTGACCTCAGTCTTGATACAAGTCTGGCTCCTTATTGATGATTGTTCCAAAACAAGAATGTGTGAAAATGAAAGATAACCGGGTTGATACCAAACAGGTCACTTCCTAATGCCCTGACCAGTGCCACAGTCATAGAAATGCTTTGGCAAGCAGAGTATTTTGAGAGCCAGCTGGTGCTTGGGATTCAATACGAGTGTTTGTAGTGTCATTACACCTGGCCTGTGTTGGACTTTGTTTTCTGCAGGTATCATAAAAGGGCTGCCAGCAATGTCTTGTCCTATCCATGGGCATTCCAATACTCAGGTCACCTTGGAGGCAAGGGGAAAGTCAGTCACTGATTGCACTCCAAACTCAGGCCCGTGCAGGCTACTAGAACCAAAGCTGTGTATCTGAAGTTTTACAGTCAGACTCGAGTTTCATTCTGGATTTAAACAATGGAGCACCTGTCTCCAGGGAAGGGAGTGAACAATTTCATGTAACTACAGAAGCGTCCAGTTGTTGCAAGGTACTGATCCTACTTGCATGCCTTCACAGCCATATACAATTTGTGAACTCTTGGAATTACTTTTCTGTGTTCGTATAAAAGAAATAGGCTTTTTGCAATCAAGGTTGAAGGGTTAGTGATAACTAGTCATACCCGCCAGGTCTTTGTGTGTGGTGTGATGTTTGTTTAAAGGAACAGGAGCTCCATTTCCAAAGTGCTTTAAAAGGAATTTATTGGCTCATATAACTGAGTAGTGCAGGATAAGATGAGAAACAGCTGGACTCAAGCAGAGACGATGTAAACCATCTTTTTCTCTCTGCTAGCTTCATTCTTAAGTTCTTATAAACCATTCTAGTTCTTTGCGTTGCTAGCACCTCCAGGTCCATATTCACAAAATTCTATACCCAGGCTGTGAGTTTAACTTTCATTGAACTAGATTGGGTATGTGCCCGTTCCTTTCTTGCCAGTAACTGTGGCAAGAAGGGGGGATGCCCTAATCTTATTGCCCATGGCTAAGCCTCATTCCAGCCCTGGAGCTTCGGTTTGCTGTTTGAATGTTTTGTTGCCTCCAAAACTCATGTTGCAACTCAGTCCTCCATGCAGCTGTGTCTGGAGGTGGAGCCTAATAGGAAGTGCTTGGTTAACTGCAGTAACACCACTGAAAAAGGCTTGCAGTGTGACTTTGGTGTTCTCCTGTCCTCCCAGGTAAGGAACAGCACTCCTCCCCTCTGGAGGATGCAGTGTGCAAGGCACCATTGTGAAAGTGGAGACTGGGCACTCGCCAGACACGGAACCGCTTGATGCCTTAATCTGGGACTTCCAGCCTCCAAACTGAGAAATTTTGTAGTTCATAAATGACCCAGTTTCAGGTATTCTAGCAGCATAAAATGGATGAAGACGGGGCAGAATCAGTATCTAAATTAGTGCTTTTCTCTAGCTTAAGGACTATTTTGTTTTAGCTTCTAAGTACAGACTGATTGTGCTTAACAAATTGAGTACACTGCTCAAGTCATTGGTGTGGCTTAAGAATGTATAAGAGCGGCCAGCACCATGGCTCAATAGGCTAATCTGCTTGTGGCGCCGGCACACCGGGTTCTAGTCCCATTCGGGGCCCTGGATCCAGTCCTGGTTGCTCCTCTTCCAGTCCAGCTCTCTGCTGTGGCCTTGGAGTGCAGTGGAGGATGGCTCAAGTCCTTGGGCCCTGCACCCCATGGGAGACCAGGAGAAGCACCTGGCTCCTGGCTTCGGATCAGCGCAGTGTGCCGGCCGCAGCACGCCAGCTGCAGTGGCCACTGAGGGGTGAACCAACGGAAAAAGGAAGACCTTTCTCTCTGTCTCTCTCCCTCATTGTCCACCCTGCCTGTCAAAATTTATATATATATATATATATATGAGCTTCAAATGCTTGCTGCAGTTTTGTCTTGAATTTGTAACCAGCATGCTGGACCATCACTAGGAGACCACATTTTAGTAACTGCTTCTCTGAATGACGTGTGTTTAAAAAGATTAGGAGGGGGCAGATATGCCTGCATCTCATATCAGAGAGCTTGGGTTCAGTGACCCACTCTGGCTCCCTGCTAGGGAAGACCCTGAGAGGCAACCATCATGGCTCAAGTGATTGGGTTACCGCACGCACATGGATTGAGTTCCCTTCTCCTGGCTTCAGCTCCAGGCCATTCCCAGCTGTTGTGGGAATTTGGAGAGTGAACTTGTAGATGGATGCTCACTCTTCAAATTGCTCCATCTCACAGAAAAATTACTTTACAGGGGTATTTGGCCTAGTGCTTAAGATCCCATGTCTCATTGGAGAGTGTGGGTTCACTCTTGACTCCAGCTTAATACTACCGCAGTCCTTGGGAGGCAGCAGATGATGGCTCAAATAGTTCCCACCACCGGGTGCAGATCATGGATTGGGGCTTTGGTCCTGACCCATCTGAAGCTGATGCAGGCATTTGGGGAGTGAACCTGTAGATGGGAGATACCTCTGCCCTCCCTTCATCTGTGTGAGGGAGGGAGGGAGACTTAAAAATGTGAGAGGGCTATGATTCCTTTTGTGGAAGAAACTATGAAAAAGCTATTCCTAAAACAAGACACCCAGCACAGTGATGAATTCTCTAGATCTTTGTTTTGCAATGTCCTTATCTTAGTGTGCAGGAAATTGTTGGGTTTTGGACTGTCTTCATAGGTTAGGATGAGAATTCACCACCTCCCTTTTTATTTTGAGACTGAAGTTTCTTTGATCTTTTCTGCTTTAGCAGCACTTCCCTTTTTTCTTTTTTTAAAGGACTTTTATTTAATATAAATTTCGAAAGTACAACTTTTGGATTATAGCGGTTTTCCCCCCCCATAACCTCCCTCCCACCCACAAACCATCCCATCTCCTAGTCCTTCTCCCATCCCATTCTTCATCAAGATTCATTTTCAATTATCTCTATATACTGAAGATCAACCTAGTATATACTAAGTAAAGATTTCAACAGATTGCACCCGCATAGACACACAAAGTATAGAGTACTGCTTGAATACTAGTTTTACTGTTAGTTCGCATAGTACAACACATTAACGACAGATCCTACACGGGGAGCGAGTGCACAAAGCAGCGCTTCTCTTCCCACTTTGTAGTCACCTGTGTGACTAGAAAGAGGTCTCATGGTTCATAATCAGCTGTTGCCCAGAGAAGCAGGCTGCACACCCCGGGTGACTTAAGGGGAAAAGGCTGCAAGTATCACAGGAGAAAGTATGGAAAGGATGCTGGGGCAAAGAGTTACTCTGCTTTTGTTTGCTGGCCTTTTCTATCTGTCTATAAATCAGGGCAAGGCAGTCATAACATGCTTTCTTAGCAGCACAAGTTTGTTTTGGCTAAGGCACTTGAGGATGCTGGCCATGAGAAGTAGGCATTTTAAACTGTGTCCAGGTAGACGAATATGTTGAGGGGAAGATGAGAAAATGTGGGCCCAGTGCCAGCAGGATGACCCAGGATTCAAACTCCAGCTCATCCACATCAGGCAGGCTACAAAGAATGCATGTGCAGGAACGTGGTAGTGTTTCTGATAGGCCTATGGAAGAGGGAAGACCCTGCTGGCCCAGCAAATGGACCTTGGTCTTAGTGCGGCACAGAGACCTAAGTCACAGCCATCTGGGTGGCTGGCTATTGTGGTCACAGCAGTCTCCATGCTGGCATCTGTACCAGTCACAGACACAACGTAGGCAGTAATTATACACAATTGCAGAAGACAAATACAAAACCTGCTCTTACAGGGCAACACCCTTTCTTTCCCCCTAGCAAGTGTGTTATAGCTTGTGTTTGTTAAATGATAAGAATTTAGTGCTAGAATGAATTAAATGCAATAAAAGTGTCTACCCAAGAGGAAGCTCTCCAGCTGAGGTTTCCAAACACTCATGGAAAGTGGAGGTGTTGGAGAAGCCCGTGTTTGCCTTCTCGCTTCTCGCATTTCCTTATCTGCGGTGGATTCTAGTGCCAGGGTTTGTTTCATGCCTGGTGTAACCTGCACTGCTGCGCTGAATTTAGGTCTGTTTGGCTTGTCATGCATAAGTTTTTCTCAGTTTCCTCAAGACAGCTGTAATTTGAGAGAAGACATGAGGTTATTTTGGAGAAACACAGGCCTTTAAAATAAGTGGTCGGAGTGGTTAATAAAGAAAATCAGAGGGTGGGCGCTGTGGCACAGTGGGTTAAGCTACTGGCCTAGGAAAGCAGTGGAGGATGGCCCAGGTGCTTGGGCCCCTGCACCCACGTGGAAGACCTGGAAGTAGCTCCTGGCTTTGGCCTGGCCCAGCCCAGTGGATGGAAGATCTGTCTCTCCTGTCTCTGTGTCACTTTCAGATAAATTAAAACCTCTGCAGCTGTCCCAGGGTTTATTTTTAAAAAAGATTTATTTGAAAGTCACACAGAGGAGAGGCAGAGAGAGAGGTCTTCCATCCGATGCTTCTCTCCCCAATTGATGCAACGGCCGGAGCTGCACCGATCCAGAGCCAGGAGCTTCCTCCGGGTCTCCCACGTGGGTGCAGGGGCCCAAGGACTTGGGCCATCTTCTTCTGCTTTCTCAGGCCACAGCAGAGAGCTGGACAGGAAGTGGAGCAGCCAGGACTTGAACCGACGCCCATATGGGATGCTGGCACCTCAGGCCAAGGCATTAACTCACTGCGCCACAGCGCTGGCCCGTCCCAGGGTTTAAACAGCCCTCTAGGGAGCTTGTCAGAAAAGAGGAGTTGGGTAGGTCATTCTAATGAATCCTTTTCTTTACAGAATGCCTGTCTGGGGAGGTGGCAACAAGTGTGGGGCCTGCGGGAGGACCGTGTACCATGCAGAAGAGGTGCAGTGCGATGGGAGGAGCTTCCACCGCTGCTGCTTCCTATGCAGTAAGTGTGTCTCCATGCTCTTCGTTCACAGAATGCATGTGTCAAAAGCTTCCATTTACCTATTTAATGTAGTTTTGCTAATAGAGATGCACAGTGGTTTTACCTGGCAGTTCTCTGAGGTATGCAAGTGCTGAGCTTAACAGCCTGGACACAAGAAGCTCTTGGCCTTCGGTTTAGCCATCTGGCTTCCACTTAGTTGCCCTATCTGTCTCATTTGCTTGCCTGAGAGCTCAGTATCATGATGGAGTCTGGCACCTAACAGTTTCTGGCACATTCTAAGGGCATGGCTCCAGATTTTTAGTGACACTCCAGCTTTCTTGTCTGGTTGGCTCCTTGTGTTTTGAAACCTTGCTTAACTGGTACTGCACTCATAATTAAAATTCAGATATCTTGGTCAAATTTTATTCTGAGTGAATGTCCAGAGTTCTAGTTATCTGCATTCTCAATTTGAGGGACAGGAGGTTAGGTGGGAACACCTCAGGGGCAGACTGGGAAGTACTGCATGGGAAATCTCAGTGACTTGCAGACTGGACTTAAACCACCACCTGTCCGCATGCAGTAGACACACACAGGAGAGCAGCCCAGCCCCCGCAGATTGTCTGACAACAGCATCTTCACTTTTAAGACGGTAAAGGAGCGGCTTAACCAAAGTCTTCATTGATTCATCTTTTGATGAGTTTTCTTTAATGAAAGATTTATTAGGTCAGAGGAAGCCACCTAGAGTGCAGATACCTGCTCTCTTCATTGTAGTCAAAATTATTGTAAGAAGCCGTATGTTAAAAATTAAGTGACATCAAAAAGTCATCTTCAGAACCCTGTATTGTTCTTTGTCTCAGCATTCAAGGTGTCAGGATTCTTTATGTGCAATTGTTTCACAAACGGTGAAACATTGCAGTCAGAAAAAATATCGCAAGTGTTTGCTGTGTAACCTCCATAGTAGCTACTGTTCCTCAGATTTGGTCTAGCCATTTTTTGGTTACTTTTTGTTTTCTAAAGAGTCTTTTTTCAGCAGTTTTGCAACCAAGAAAGCAAAGGAACAAAAATGCAAATACTTTAGAAATTATTGTTTCATCTAAAGTTAGTGTTTACTAATTGGCAAGTTTTCTACTGGTCATTTTTACTCCTTCCTAACATTGGTCTCTGCTGACTAAAGCCTTTGAAGGACATAATTCAAAGTGGTTTACAGACCTCTAAGAACTTTACTACAGAGAATGGGAATGAGAAGAGGGAGAGATGGGTGGTTAAGTTTAATTTTCCTATGCCCAAGCATACCTTGGTTAATACATGTTGTAGGTTTTTTTTTTTTTTTTTTGACAGGCAGAGTGGACAGTGTGAGAGAGAGAGACAGAGAGAAAGGTCTTCCTTTTGCTGTTGGTTCACCCTCCAGTGGCTGCCACGGCCAGCGCACGGTGCTGATCTGATGGCAGGAGCCAGGTACTTATCCTGGTCTCCCATGGGGTGCAGGGCCCAAGCACTTGGGCCATCCTCCACTGCACTCCCTGGCCACAGCAGAGAGCTGGCCTGGAAGAGGAGCAACTGGGACAGAATCCGGCGCCCCAACCAGGACTAGAACCTGGTGTGCTGGCGCCGCAAGGCAGAGGATTAGCCTAGTGAGCCGCGGTGCTGGCAATACATGGTTTTATAGCAGATTTTACTTATTTACATTTATTCTGTCCAGTAAGAATATTTGTACTTTGGCAATGGTGTAATTTTAGGTTAGCTGTATCTTTAAGCAAATACATTTTGTCACTTTTTAGCCTTAACAATTAGGTTCCAGAAGCCAAGACTTCAGTCTAAGATAAGAGAAAACTTAAATTCTTTTAAATTGGCCAGCTTGTTTTTCCCTTCCCTCTTGCTGTCTGCCCTCCTCCCTCCTATTTGGGGAGGGAAACCCCTCTTTCATACACTCCTCTTCGATTTCCAACTGCCTGATTGTGCTACCAGCATGTTCTCTCACACTTTACTATTTTTCTCAAGCTTAACTGAAGTTTTAGAAAGTGAAATAATGTCTGGATAAAACATGATGACATTTGGCAGTTTTATGAAGTGGGATATGTGGAAATGTCTTGTGGCGAGAAATCCATCAAGAAAGAATGTATGAATCTCCTTTGGGACAGAAGGGAAAACAAAGCAGACTTTAAGCCACTTGGTGAGTTTCAGACACTTATCACTGCTGGAGAAGTCGGAGGGTAGATGAGAGCATCCCACTTCCCCACTCCAGACCAGTGATGAAAACTAGAGTCCTGGGTTCAAAACTCTGTATCCCGGGAGGATGCATTTTGGGTGGGAGGTGCCACAGAGGCACCAAAATAACTTTTCTTTGTTTGGTTGTGGCCTGACAATGCCTGGTAAAGATAGATGAAAAAATTGTGTTGAGGGTGGGAGTAAGGCATTGTTCATTTTATTCCTTCTGTTCATGTAATTATAGCTGTCTGAAACTTCTCTCCCTTCTGCCAGAGTAGCAAATCACTTTGAAAACTCTGCTGGATATTAAAAAATCCCTTTATCATATTTGTGGAGGAAGAAACTCTCCTCAAGTGCAGCCGATCAGTCCAGGTGATGTCATGGCTTTTGGGAAATCACAGGGTAAACTAGGAATGTGAGGGTCTCTGCCTTTACCGACTATAGACCAACTTAGCCCCCACTTTTAGAAACGGCGTCAATGGAACATGTGTAAAAGTCTAACTCCCTCCCCCCACCCCCCCCAGTGGTTTGCAGGAAAAATTTAGATAGCACAACAGTGGCAATTCATGATGAAGAGATCTACTGCAAATCCTGCTATGGAAAGAAGTATGGGCCCAAAGGCTATGGTTATGGCCAGGGTGCTGGCACGCTCAACATGGACCGTGGTGAGAGACTGGGCATCAAGCCAGAGAGGTGAGATAGGAGTGTGTGTGTGTTACCTTCAGAAATGAGTTCTTACAGTTCTTACAATGTGACCTGGTGGCAGGAACCCAGGAGTTTCCAGATTTGTAGCTGAAATTCAGCAAACAAAATGTGACTCAGGTTTTCTAATATAAATTACTGTTCAAGTTCTTACTATTCCAGTGATTTCTACTCCTGGTTTTATAGCATTCCAAGAAGTATAAAGGAGTCTTTGTGGTCTCAAAAGCAAGTGATTTAAATTTACTTGCATTTCACAGCATTTCGGAGATCAGATGTAATGAAATTCAGTGGTGGAAAAATGTGGTATCTGAATCATGAGTTTTTTCTCATGTCAACAAAAATTCCTGTCACTTCTTTGTGTAAGACTTTTTCTTCAAGAAGTTACTTTCCTCCAACCGATTAGGAATTGGAATTATCTCCTGTTTGTTAAGGCTCACCAATTTACTGATTCTCTAGCCATTCATTTAATGTCTGAGCCCCTGTTGTGCCTTACCTATAATAGGCAACAAACCCTTCAAAATTTTTTTGAAAGCAGATGGGTGATATGAGAAGTTCTTGTTATACTGACAGCTGGATTTGGAAATTCTTCATGGAAATCTAACTTAAAATGTTAATAAGCTTTTAAAGATCACTTTTAAGTGTACCTGAAGGTTGCAGAGTTTTGGAAAATTAAGGACATTGAAGTACTTTGAATTGGTATTGGTCATTAGAATAAGATTTCCAGTGGCCACATCAGATGGTTAAAAAAAATGCTTAGCTAGAAGTGTATAATATATTGGAAATGCATGGGAAATACTTGAGTAAATTGTTTATGAAAAGGTATTTATAAGTAAACATTTTATGTGATGTCAAATAAGTTTGCAACTAAAGAGAATACAAATTTTTCCTAATGGAAAAAAATGTTACCAGCAGATAGCTAAGTATCAACTATCATTATGTATCTTCTCAACTAACAAGATTCTTAAAATATTACAGACGCCCAGGATGTTATATACAGTAGGCACACCTACTTTACTAAATGGGGAAAAAAGTTCCTACTGAGAACTACACCCAGTGAATAGTGAAAGAAATATTACTATCTCCACAGAAAAAGCTAAACTGTAAGAAAAGTTTATTCATTTTCCCTTATTTAGGATGTACTGGGAAAAGTTAAGCAATCTGAAAAGCATATTTCACTTTCTAGTTATCGAGTACTTATTAAAGCAACTGACCTATTTGCAGAATTACCTAACTACTTAACATATTTGTTTTCAGTCTCTGAAGGAAAAAGCTAATTGTGATTCCAGTGATGTTAATGTGGATCTGGGGTCAAAATGTGTGCTGTAGTAGGTTTTTTTTTAAAAGGCATAACATAATTGTTGAGCAGAGAAACTAATGCTTGATTATATGAATTCTCTGGACTTGGACAGCTCTAACAGTTTGGAGTACTGTCTGGCTTTAATATGAGCCTCTGTACAGGATAAAGAAGTAACTCTGGCTAGCACCTGACATTAATTTCTTCTGTTTTCCTGTATTATCTGCAAAGGCATCTAGCCTTAAGATAGAATAGCACTTCCCTCATTCCTACCTTGTGGACTTAAAGGCATTTTTGAAAATATTAACATGTCTTTTCCCCTTTCCACAAGTGTTCAGCCTCACAGACCTACAACAAATCCGAACACTTCTAAATTTGCTCAGAAATACGGAGGTGCTGAGAAGTGCTCCAGATGTGGGGATTCTGTGTATGCTGCCGAGAAGATAATTGGAGCTGGAAAGGTAAAGTACTTTTTTTTTTTTGATACTTATTTGAAAGGCAGAGTTACAGAGAGAGGTCTTTCATTTGCTGGTACACTCCCCAAATGGGTGTAATGGCCAGAGCTGGGCCATTCCAAAGCCAGGAGCTTCTTCTGGGTCCCCTACATGGGTGCAGGGGCCCAAGGACTTTGGGCCATCTTCCACTGCTTTCCCAGGCCACAGCAAAAAGCTGAATCAGAAGTGGAGCAGCTGGGACTTGAACGTGTGCCTATATGGGATGCTGGCACTGCAGGTGATGACTTCACCTGTTATGCCACAGTGCCATTTTGAATTAACAGCAAATGATTCCAGTTCTCACCTAAGCCACCTAAAAAGCCAGACTGTTACAGACCTGGAATGTACAGGTTATTCAGTGTAGTTTAAAACAATCAGATTTCAGTCACTGGCTGCCTATTGGGTATGTGGACTTGGAACTATCACCATATAACATTTTGGAGCTATAGTGCCTCACCCAGAAAGGCTACAGGCAGTCCTGACAGCATCACATTGGATTTTCGGCAAGATCTGAGGCTCCCTAACAGCTCTCAGTCCATGGAATAAAGTTTAAGCACTGCCTTTTTGCAGGTGACCTAGGATGTAAGACCCTGACGAGTCTCTGTAAACTTCCTTGATGACGTTGAACCAAAGCAATCAGGAACTTGCATTGGGTCGATCTTCCCAGCTTCTCTAAGTTACACTGCAGGGGGCTGGCACTGTGGTGCAGTGAGTCAAGCTGCCTGTGAGCACTGGGTTGAGTCCTGGCTGCTCTGCTTCCCACCCAGCTCTCTGCAGTGGAAGATGGCCCAAGAACTTGGACTTCTGCCTCCCAAATGAGATACCAGGATGGAGTTCCAGGCTCCTGGCCTCAGCCTGGCCCTGTCCCAGCTATTTGGGTAGTGAACCAGTGGATAGATGTTCCCTCCCGCTAACTGTGCCTTTCCAAGAAAGAAATCTTTAAAAGAAATACTGCAGGAAACATGCCTCTCAAATGTGCTAACACATCTGTTGCTTCTAGCCCTGGCACAAAAACTGTTTCCGATGTGCAAAATGTGGAAAGAGTCTTGAATCAACAACTCTGACTGAGAAGGAAGGAGAAATCTATTGTAAAGGTAAAATTTGTCACTGATCTCCATATGAAAACACTATACAAACTGCTGGTTAATGCAAAGTCACCAGCACTAAGCAAGAACAAAACTAGGACTCTGTACATAGGGAAAATATATATTGGCTATGTGAAAATAAAATATCCTGAAGCAAGTGCTGTAGCATAGGTTAAGCCATATCCCATACTGGAGTGCGGGTTGGGATCCTGGGTGCACTGCCTCTTCCTGCTTACACATCTGGGAAGCACCAGACAATAGCACAAGTACCCAAGACCCTGCCACTCATGTTGGAGACCAAATGGAATTCCTGGCTCCAGCCTGTCCCAGTTCTAGCTGTTGGGGAAGTGAACCAGCCGCTGAAGATCTTTCACTTTCCATTCATGTAAACAATTATAAATGAGTCTTAAAATCCAGATACTTAGAGATGGCAGAAAACTACAAACAGTGCCCATTTACAACTCTCCCATAAATATACTAGCCTGTTTTAAGTAAAGCATGTGGACATATGAAGGTAATAGATACATAATTTACCTGGTCCTTCATGCTTGATACTCAAAGGGACCATGAGCATTAAGGAATGCCTTACATTTGTCTCATAGATTGAAGACATTTAAAGGCACATATTGCAATTAGAGTAAGTTCAACTCTTTGGCATACTGAGGTTGTCTTGTCTTAAACAAGGCTATCAATGCTTACTGGGCTTGTACGCTTTCTTTCCTAGGATGTTATGCAAAGAACTTTGGGCCTAAGGGATTTGGTTATGGCCAAGGAGCAGGAGCTCTCGTTCACGCTCAGTAAAGGTGCAACCCCAGAACTGTTACACACCAAGAATCTTCTCATAATCTATACACCGATAAACTACTGTGAAAATCCACCAGCATTAAGTACTGTGTATTGCCTGTAATTGGCTAAGCTGGCCAACTTGCAGGAAGAGAGCAGTGTATTCTTTTGCTTTATTCACCAGCATTTTCAAGAACCCTTTCTTCATTTTAAATAAAACTTCAGTTTGATCTGGGTGTGTACTTTTTTTATTAATCGTTTTGAGGAGCTGCTCTGATTTGTTAGAGAATTAAATCCTGTTATTCAGGTGACTCCCAAGCTAACGGTTGCTTCAGACGTGGTGGCTCAAGAGGGTTGCTGGTCAGTAGCAAGCTGTTGCCCTCTATTTCCTTCCCACCCATCACTGCTTGGCAGTTTTCCCGCAGAGCACAGCTTGTAGATACCCTACTTTAGAATTACCTCGGCCCCACGGAAGCAGAATAGTAGGTGCAGAGAGAAACCCTTTTAACAAGTTTCCCAAAGGCCCATTGACCCAACTTGGGCAAGCTGTTAAAACAATGAAGTTTTTGGGGCCTGTGCGGTGGTGTAGTGGGTAAAGCTCTGGTCTGCAGTGCCGGCATCCCATGTGGGTGCTGGTTCGAGTCCCGGCTGCTGCACTTCTGATCCAGCTCTCTGCTATGGTCCTTGGGCCCCTGTAGCCACATGGGAGGCCCATAAGAAGCTCCAGCCATTGCGGCCAGTTGGGGAGTGGACCAGCAGATGGAACTCCCTGTCTTTTAAGTAAATCTTTAAGTAGATGTATCAGAATAATTTTTAATCATTAGACAACCATAGAATCTACATATGGCTCTTCCTCGACTGCTGTGATAGGTGTTGGCTGACCAAATCCTGGAAGCTGAAGTATACCATTCACACAGTCGTGTGTAAGGAGCAGTGTCTGGGCACATGAGCTGGGTCAGGTAGACAAAGGCACATTAGACTATAAGGATTGTTTTCATTATCCCCCACCCCCAGGTGAAGGGTACGGAACTGGTCTATATTAGTAAAACTGAACCAGCCTCACAAATCTTTTTTCTATAGGCCATTTTAACACACCACTGCTTATTTTGGGAAGTGAATGGGTTATATATATCAAAAAATGAGCACCTGGAGTTGATTCAGGGTGTACTGGGTGAAATAATTTTTACATCATAGCCTTGAGCAGTTTCAGGTGTTTAAGGCATACCAGTCCACTTTGAGGCAAGAGCCCTTTGGTTAATAAGCAGCCTGAGAAATAGTTAACTGGCCATAACAGGTTAAACTGAAGTTATGGAGTAACTTCAGATCTGTGTGGTAGTTTTATTACAACATGCCCACAAGTTCTTTGACAATGATAATATAAGTCCCCTCCCTTTGAATAAAGGCCAGTCTTGCTCATTTTAAACTAATGTAGTACGATGGCCAAAACTAGGTCAGATAAGACAATGACACTTTTGCCTGCCTGTTTTCAGGATGCGAATGCATCCAGTTCAGCCACATGTTGAGAAAGCCCTCACTACATGGGGAGGTCACCAGTACTTACAGCCTTAGGGGAGGTCTCGTCCTGCTCAACAGAAATAGCCATCACACTTTGAGTAACTGCAGTCCCAGTTTTGGAATTACCTCCGCTGATACCAAGTGCAACCAAGTAAGCGATCCCTGCTGAACAAAAATGCTCTCAGCCACTCAGTTTTGCGATGGTTAAGGCAGCAAACAATACTGAACCCAACCATTTCCCCAAACTGTATGGGCGTTGCTAGTAGAAATTCTACAGGAAAAAATACTCTAAGTTGCCATGTGCCTGGTAATTTGAGACTTGGTAAAATAAGACAGCCATTCATAATTAAAATTCTTAAGTTGGGAGCCATGACAGAACAGCTACTACAAAACTTAGCTGCCAGTAGTTCTAGGACTAGAAAAGAGAATTTGGTTTTGGGCCAGGATCTCTTCTGAGAGGTAATAACCTTGATTATTTAGATATTAGTAGGGGAGTCCCAAAAGAACACAAATTCCATATTAAAGTATTTAATGGTCAAATACTTTATGAACTATCCATCTGATACACTTTAAGCCCCATTTGTTGGTTTGCTATATTTATGGATGACTGCTAGCAACTCTGGTAGCAAAGTCTTCCTGATCAAGGTCAGGGAATGTTGCAGATAAGTAGATTACTGTACATTGCCCATCATACCAAAGGCCTTGAGTTTCAGTGGCTGAAAACTCAACTTGAGAGCCTTACATTGAACAAGCTGTTCTGGGAATCACTTATTATCTTGGCATACATTGTTTGGACCCGTGGTTTTCAAAAGTGATCTCCGAATCCCTTTACATTTTTAAACTGGGACTCCAAAGAGCTTTAGACAGTTGTAGCTCAATATTTTCAATATTATAAATCAAAAAAAAATTGTTAAAAATTTAGTTCAAACTTGCGTTTACAGCCAAGACGAAATAACAGATTTACCGATTCAATGGAAACAAAGATTACATGAAAAATTTAGTGACAGCAGGATATTAGGCCACAAAAGACATTTACAGGGAAGAAAAATGACCAGTTTTAATAACTAAAGCTTACTGCTTTGAGTGTCTGGACTACTCTGCAAGGTGGAGCTATGAGCCTCCTAGAGTTGAAGAGAGAGCTGAAAGATGAGGGGGACCAAGGCAGCTGAGAGTTCAAAGGAATGGAGAGAGCTGCACAGAAAGAACTCTAAAGACCCTCACCCAATGATATCTTCCAAGTATTCAGATGAGTTCTGACAAAACATGCATGGTAGGTGACTACCTGAGGCCAGATAAAGAACCATCTGGAACAGCATATAGTGCCTGTGGTTACCAGTGAGACTGGGAAACATGATACCTGGGGCTCTGCATAACAATATAGAAGGGTTTTACCTCAGGAATGGAGATAATTAGCCCTAAATGGAGCACTGCTCTGGTTTTGCTAACAAATCTTAAAAGCAAGACCTGAAGGGATCACAATTTCCAAGTGCATCTCGGAACAAAGACCAAGAATTTTTATAGGAATGCAAAAATATCTAAAACCTAGTTCATAAAGCGACAACCAACCAAAAATTACCAGGCATGCAAAACAGCTAGACAAGGACACGTAATGAAAAATCAAGATCAACCCAGAACTGGCACAGATGTGAAAATTAGCAGGTAAGTATATTAAAAATTCTTACTACCACATACTTTCACAAAGCAGAGGTAAGGAAGATATGTGTTTTTTTACAAAAGGTCTAAATCAAACACTAGATGAAAACTTATAAAGTGTGAGATGAAAATACACAGGTCAGGCTAGGCACTGGGGAAAAAAAACACTGATGAACTAAAAGACAAACTATCCAGTGTAAACACTGGTGGGGAGGGGAACGCTGAGCATCAGTGAGCTATAATTATGACAATATCAAGTGGCCAAATCTCTGTATAATAGAGTCTCTTTCCTAAAAGGAAGAGGAAAATTACATGAGAGATAATCTGAGTACTAAAAACATTTCTAACTGTGAAAAAATGCATAGTTCTGGTAAATGTCTGACAAACATTCTAATAAAATTTGAGCAGAAACATTCAAATCCAATTCAGAGTCAGTGTTTTCTAAGAGCCACATCTGGTGTCCTGGAGTTTGAACTTAGTTCACTTAGAACAAGACATTCTGGATGTCCCGCGTGGAATTAGTTTTTTTTTTTTTTTTTAAAGCCACAAATCACACAGAAAACACTTGTAACAACCATTTTATGAAACCGAAGATTTACTTTGTTATCGCAATTGAACTACTTGTTTTCGACCACCTCTCAGTTCCTAGAAGCAGATACCCAAATCATCTTAGGTACAGTCTTCCAGCCTGGCAAGTACTTAAAGAAAACAGGGAGATAGTGAAGAGGAGGAGGAAAGTACTTAAATAGATGCAAACTGGGGGCTTCATTATAGTTTTTTAGCAATATAGTATATAGTAAAGTATGTTTTACTACAGTAAAATATATAGTAACTTTTATATGTTTCTAGATGTTCAGACAGCTTTGGGGCAGTTTTTCAACATCATAAGATAATTATGAATTGAGTATTAGGTATGACAACATTCCTGTTTAGTCACTAAGTTCTCAAAATATAAATAACCACCTGGACAACAAAAAAGAACCTTTTCATCAGTTTTGCTTTTAAATTCCCTCACATAAAACAAAGCCACAATAACTTCTCAAGTAACTATTTAAACGTATACTACAGTATGTTTAGATACACTTACATTTAAAACTTGGAGATTCACACAATTCTTGGGTATCCTAATTCACTGCATGGAATCCAAAATTCTTAAAAGAAAAATTTACTATTTTAAAAATTCCATTAATTATGTACTAATTCATACAGAACTAGAGATTTTAGAATTGGAAATTTTAAAAATATTAACACCACCTTTTTACTTTTGTGAATTCCAAGACTCATATGCCACTTGACTCCTAGTGGACCAGCATATAAATATACAAAATAATCTTTTTGTATCTTAGGTCCCACTATCACAGTTTCATCAACTTCTTGAAGAATTGAACAAAATTAAAACAAGCACACACTTAAGAGTCAATATTTATTCTGATTAATATTTTACAAAATTTTGACATTTAATTTATGTAAGGAGAGCTAATTAATTAAACACTTAACAGGTTTTTCTTTCCACAGAGTAACACAATAAGTAGCAAAATAATACTTGGCACAGTTATAAATAAAATACAAAATAAAAATTCCATAGCTTAAGTATAATGCTGCTGTCTTACACTTATTAATTACTTCGAAGAAATCCCTGGAAACAAAAATAATGAAAAAAAAAAAAAAAAAAACACCTCCAAAGAAATAATTCATGTTTGGAGCTGGAAACGGAGTTCCTGTTTACTAAAAGTATCCAATTAGCCTGATCGGAACCACTCCCTGAAGTCCACCTTCACAGGATGACCTACTAAATAATTAAACATTCAGGTACACTGCTGTATAGCTGGCTCCTGACCACCTGACCATTTCTGAGTTAGAGTCCTATCGGGATGAAATGGTTTGGTTAGCATTGACATTGCTATGTAAAGCATCTACAAGTTCTAGTATTTTCCATGTAATTATGCATTTAAAGGTTTTTTTTCCATTTGTCTAACTGAAAAACATGTCTTCTGCACTGAAGAGAATATTGTACCACACAGAAAACATGGTAACAACATTCTTATCCAAACTCTGATAAAATGACTATACTCTTCAACTGTTGACAAAAATGTATTCAATAAAAATTGCAACTGATTCGTCATGTGAAGTGGCTTAAAGTACAAAAAATTAAAACAAATTCTAGCATTTTATAAATAACTCTGAATTTAAAAATTATCTAAAATTTCCCCCAATTAGTAGTCAAAACTAGCAGAGACATTTGTAAAGTTAACCAATTTTTTACATTCTATGACAAAATGGCACAATGCTATTGCCACCCCACACCCATCTTTTCCCTTTTCAAAAATAAAGGACATATGCCAATTTTCTAATATTAAAACACTCAGGTACATTAAAAGTGATCTTTTTTGATGTATGACTTATGATCAAAGAAATTACTATATAAAAATGGTAGTACTTGGAAATACTGAACATCAACTATATACACCTTCACTGCTCCTCTTCCTAAGGCCAAGGGGCGGGTATACCACTAGATTGCTTTAATACCTGTAATAATCTGTATTATACAGGAAATACTAATGTTACCAAGCATCAGACATGCAGTGAACTTGCAGGGTATAACGCCTATTAACAGCAATATTGAACATCACTAGAAGCTCATTAGTTATCTCCCTTTTCTTTTTGGTTGGATAAAATGAAATGAGCAGCTTTAAAAACACTAACACATATGGACACAAAGAGGAAACTATTTGATAAATTATTTATATACAGATACACATTCTTTACAGTGGTCTAGGATCTTTTATCAGTCTGACCACCCTACCCCCACCCTCCTCTCACACCATTCCCTCTCACAGGTTTCCCACAGGTCGCTCGAACCACAGTTTGCTACAGCACTTAAGAGGACTAAACCAAGTCTCACTCTGTAAACAATATTTATGGAAGCAGTGACTAGTGTTTCACCATGAGTGTATGGAAATGCTCTAACAAAAATTTTTCAGTGCATCACATTTAACAAGAAAATCATTCTGAAATTGTTTCAAACAGCATTAACAAATTTTAAAACATTTTCAATATTTGGGAACAATGAAATAATCTTGGGGATTAAATTCTACTTTCTGATAGGTCATTTTTTAAAAACCAGAATATATCATTTTCTTTTATTCATATGTGCTATATACAGAGATCATGCTCCATCTTTAGCTAAACTGTTATTTTGCAGCTCAGAATTTTAAAAGCACATCTACCTCTTACGGAAACTTTTGTATCAAATTCTGCCTTTTCTTGAAAATATCACCTCAATTCTTAAAAACTGGACCGTTTACACATCAAAGTTCTAATTTATGCCTCAATGGACGTATCAGCTAGTATACATTCTTAAGTGTATCATGCACTTAGTAGGGCTTTTAAATTCAAAGTAATATGACTTACTATTTACTCATGCAAGTGCTTTATTATCAGACCATGAAACCTCAGAGCAAGGTTACTACAAATTATTTCACTGAACTAGAAATATATCAGCATTGCAACAGCTGAGAGAAACAAATATTGTTAGCACTTTTTTTGTGAACATTATTTTCTCAAGCCTTTTTAGAAACATTAGATCCCTAATGAAATCACATGATTTTCATCACAGTATTTACATGTACATTCTGAAATGTACACAATAGTACTCAATCAATCAAGACGATTCTCCTGGAATTAGATGCAATATTTTTCATATACTGTATCATAAGATTTAGTCAAATTAGTTTTAGTTAGAATTGAACATTTCTGATCAGTATATCACATCTGTCAGCAGAGTAAGTTCACTATTTTCTGGTGAAAAATGTTATGAAAACAAAATCAAAAAGTTGAGTATGTTGTGAATTCCCACATTAAGAACCATTAAAATTCTTTTTATAATCTTTATTCTTTCCAAGAAGTGGCAGTGTGTTCTGTCCATGTTAACTTTTGTTAATAAAAATGTTGAAAAGAAAGAGCGTGAAGTTCACTGTTAGCCCTACACATAGCATGCTATTGTTCAAAGGATGTGGATTCGAGTGTGTGAGAGAGACACGGACAGACACAATTTTCAGGCACCACTCAGCAATATGCTTCACAGGATAAAGATGTTGCTACACCAGCTGGTACCCAGATCCTGATATTTGATCATATTCTATTGTATACTGTCTGGTCCAGTCCACGATAACAGGACGAAAGAGGCCACAGCATCGAAATTCAAAGAAGTCTATAATATTCCTTACACATCCATGGCTAAAATCGTTTCCCAAAAGAAAAAAAAAGCAATTAGTAAACATTATTCAACACAAGTTCAACATAATGTTGGCATAAATATATTTTTTTCTAAACTTAAAATCTTAGGTTGCTAGCACGGAAGAATCAATTTATAACTGCAAAACATATATGTATATTCCTGGATCTCCAGTCTGCCAACACTGATGCTCTCTTGCTAATTTAAGGGGGTTATACAATTATTTACACACACACACACAATTATTTATACACACACAAAAACACTCATACTTTTAAGATTTATTTTTATTTGAAAGGCAGTGTGACAGAGATAGATGGAGATATCTTCCATCCACTGGTTCCCTACCAAAATGGCCACAGAAGCTGTGGCTTAGCCACACCAAAGCCGGAAGCCTGAAACTCCACTCGTCTCCCGTGTAGGTGACAGGGGCCCAATTACTTGAGCCATATTCTGCTGCTTTCCCAGCCACATTAGCAGGGAGCTGGAATGGAAATAGAGCAATCAGGACTTGAATTAGCACACCAACATGGGATGCTGGCATTGCAAGCAGAGGTTTGCCCCACTATGCTACAATGCTGACACCTACAATTACATTTTATAGTTACTCAAATTTGAATAGTGGCTCTTTGGCAAGGAGACAAACTAGCTCAAAGTTGAAAAAGAAAAAAAGGCAAATAATTACAAATAGCATGAATTTGGAAGTAGAGCTAAAAGTAACAATTAAAAACATCAAAGATGGCTGGTGGTGTGGCACAGAAAGTTAAGCCACTGTTGGCAATGCCAGCATCCTATTATCAGAGTGCTGGTTTGAATCCCAGCTGCTCTGATTCCAATCCAGCTTCCTACTACTTGGGAAGGCAGTGGTAGATGGCCCAAGTACCTAAGCCCCTGCCATCCGAGTGCGAGACCCAGATCAAGTTTCTGGCTCCTGGCTCCTGGCTCCTGGCCATTTGGAGAGTGACAGACTCTCTCTCTGGCCATTTGGAGAGTGATAGACTGTCTCTCTTTCCCCTTCCCTCCCTCTTGAGATTCAGCCTTTCAAATTAATATATATTTTCAAAAATTTATCAAGGATATTTTCAGGACATTTTAACTTTAATGACGCCTCTGAATAAAGCAGTCAATTTTAAACCTTGGTTACTGTACCTATGGGAGAATTCTCCAAACTACTTAGCTGACTATTCTTAGGGGAAAGCTTGCTTGCTTTCTAGAAGTGTGAATAATTAATAGCACCAGAAAAGCTTAAAAGTATTTTGATAGTTGGGTGAATCCCCAGCTCCAGCTCTTGATTCCAGCCTCCTGTTAATGCAGACTATGGAAAGCAATGGTGATATTCAAAGTAATTGGGTTCCTGTCACCCACATGAGAGATCTGGATTGAGTTCCCTGTTCCTGGCTTCAACCAAGCACTGTTTTAGTCATTGCAGTCATCTGGAGAGTAAACCAGTAGATGGGAAGTAGCTTTCTCCCTCACACATCCCCACCTCTATAGCTTAAAAAAAGGAGATAGTAATTCCAGTGCCTCATCTAATTAGAACACTGTTGCTTGTAAGCAGAAAAAAGTTCATGAAAAAATGTGATTAAAAAAAACGATGCAAACATTTCAAAATTTCTTTGCACCAAAATAAGTATCTTTAATTCTATTTTTCCACAACCTTTTTGAAGTACCCTGATGTGGGTGTGTATGTACATAAAAAGGGATATCACAAATTTACATACCGTTAATGAGATGAATTCTATATTCTACATTATGGTGAACTAGCCATTGCTACTTCTTCAGAAACCTTAAATTTAGTAGGACTTAACTATTTTTATATATCCCCAAATAGAATACTGCATATCCATATACTATCTTTGATATATGTCCTAAATAACTTCTAAGTTAGATAAGGGAATTTCTATGACAGAGGAAAATACTAAATTTATAAATATAAACATACTTGAATGGGCTTTCAATAGATGTTGTTGTGACTTTAAAGTGCTTGTATCTTCTTGCATTCATTCTTTCATTTGTAGTTATACCTAAACATGATATCTAAGAGAGAAGAGAAACCAACCATTACTTATCCTGAAGGAACACTTAAAATATCCCTACGTTTCTCAGAAGGACTTTCGAATCAGAAACAACAAATAAAAACTTCTGTTGAGAGAAGTATTACCTGTGTAACATGAGGAGGAGGAGGAAAAGAGATGGGCAGAAAGGTAAAGTACACTGAAAAGTTAAATTCGTACTTGAAAAGAAGGGTGGTTAGGAAGAGAATACATTATCACCTTTTAGGCAAAGAGGGAAATTATAAAAGCATTTTCAGTTAGCGTATTACACAGAACAATGTGTGTAATTGCACATACCTGATACATCTGACACATAAGTAATACAGCCACCCACATGAAATGAAAAACACTGTTCAGAAACATCCAAAACATCCAAGGTGAACATGTGGCAATTTGAGTGATATAGGTCCAAAATCCATCCTTGGTGTACGTGGTCTCACAGTGGAGTCCCCAGTCTGTAAAGCAGAACAGAAGTGATCCACATTAATTCAGTTATCATCCAAACAATTCATGTAGGCATTTGTGTTGGCAGCATTTAGAAAATATGATCTAGCAGTCTAATTGATGATATTCAAAAGTAAATGTTTTTATTCTCTTAAACAAGTCCATTATACACTGGTGAAAAAACATATCACAGACAATAATGGAAAAGCAGCAGCCAATCTTAAAAAAAAAAAATATCCTGTGCCTTAAGAGTAAATAGTTTTGATTGATACAGAAAAGGGCATTTTCTTTAAACCAAGAGAAAATGGTACACGTGGGCGAGTTTTTTTTGGAGGGCTCTACTTGGTGAAGAGGGCTTTGCTAATATAAGACCCCACGCTCCGTGAGAGCTGCTGTCAAGAAGAATCACTGTTACTGGCAGAAAAGTATTTTCTCTCAGGAATGCTGGGACAGAAATTAGACCAAGCTCTTTGACCAAATATTTCTTTTAATCTCAAATTGAGGAAGAAGCCTCCTTTCTGTTCATTAGCAAAATAACATTAATTATTTTTAATATCTGTAGTGGAAGAACTAAGGAAATCACCCTTTCAAGACTTGTTTTTAAACCAGAGTCTAATACTTCTTTATGCTAAGTACCACCAGTACCTAAAGCACAGTTACTAGTATCTTCATTTAAACTCCTCCAGATTCTTAATTCAATAAGGACCCATCATTTCCTCTAAGGTCCTAAACACATGACCAAATGAATGACAAAATATTCTTAAAAAGGTATTTCTCTAACTCTGCCTGTCAAAAAAAAAAAAAGGTTATTTCTGATACTTGTTAATATTCCTTAATAGGCAATAATTATCCTTTATGTTTATATTTCAAATGTTGTGCATTTAAGTATATTTTCCCAACTGTTCGGTAAGAAAGAGTAACTGGCACAGTCACTAGATAGTCTATAAACCATTGGGGTAAAGCAAGCACATGATGTGAAAAATGTTGGTGTATTTTACCCAGAAGCTTTTCAAAGCCTATTAAACTAACATGTTTTACAGAGGAAACAATATAAGGGTGGTTAATTGATAATTGGTTACTTATTCTAAATTGAACATATTTGGCAGATCTACACTTATTTTTTTCTTTTATGCTTTGTAAGGTGCCCCGAACCATAATTTTTAGTTAAAAGACTTTTTGTCATTATAATTTGTAAAATAACAAGTATAATCTGAGTATACAAACATACTATGTTTTAAGAAGGCAAAAAACCAATTGTACTCACAAGAAATACAACCATAAATCATCCAGCAGATCATAAAAAGCAAGAAGAATAGGTAGCCCATAAAGTATCTATGGTTGCCTGCACCTAAAGAACAACACAGAAGCAATTTTTTTCAGCTAAGAAAAAACAACTGGTAATACACCTTTGAGGGAATATGCTGTGAAGGGTGACAGCTTGGACAGTAATCACATACATTATTTTATAAAATGGTTTTCAAGAAAATAAATGTTTCAATAAAAGTCTTAAAATAAGAATGCTTGTAACTATACACAAAGATGTTGATGACTGCAATGACGTTCCAAAGAAATCACAATTCTGACCTTCAATCCTACAGTTTTGTGAGGTTTAACTTATTTTTATCTTTATAATTATAAACCTTACAATACAATTTTTCAAAGGCTTCTCCCCAAAAAGTCACAATCTTTGTAAAGTTTCCTTTCTGTCACCTCCTATCTCCAAACCCCTGATCACTCAAGTTCATCTCTACTCTTGGAACACTGAGGTGTGTACAGTTCCATTATTCCTCTCTGCCTCTAAACAGAACATAATTCCAAATACTACTGCCTTACTTTCACTAAATATTATTATTAGCCTTCTTAACAATTTCAGTAACCCAATGGAGAAAGTGGGAAAGCGTAGCCAAGTGAGAGAACTCGTGGAGAAATGATACTAGTCTCCTCTAGATACTGATTTTGTAACTCTCTCAATTGAATGGCTGTTTTTGTCAAGCAGAAGATAATGAAAGAGCACAGTAGTGCAGGAATGAATTTTCTACTATCTAACATAGTACTTAATAAATTACCTAAAGTTACTTAAGTGAACAATATTCTTGGAAATTATTAATATAACTTACCTACACAGTTACCCACCCACGGGCAATGATGATCAAATTTTGCTATACATCGGTTACACACACCACAATGTTTGGACCTCACTGGTTTCCGTATCTGTTAATAGGCATGTTAAAGGATTATGGAAGGCATTAAACCTAAGAGAAAAGCTGAACATTTATTTCCTCAAAATACAATCATGAAAAAATAAAATTATATTTTTTGAATAAAACAGGACCAAGGTTTCCAAATGAATTAAAACCAAACAAGAATTACCGTCGTTTTACTTAATAAAATTTCAACTGCAACAATGAAGACAAAATGGATAAGGCTACTAGAGAATATAAACTCTTAAGAATGGAAGAGAACCAACAATTTGCAAAAATAACAACCAAGAATAAAGATCAGTGTGATGTTGTGATGAGTGATACAGTATTTAATTTGTATTCCTCAAATTAAATAAAATACTATATCACTTTCAAGGCTTCTAAATGAATACTCAATGGTCATGATGCTGGTTGCTCTTAATAAAACTGTTCCTTAGTAAATGGAAGATCAGGTTGGAACTCAAAGAATCTTTCAAAAATCAAAATCACTAACAAAATGTGTGTCTTCCCCAAATTAACAAATCTAGCAAAAAAAAAAGAAAAGAAAAAAGAAAAAAAAAACCAGTTAAGTGCACACTTCTGTAAGTGCCTCCTAAGACCTTAAAAGTTACAGTAGGCCGGCGCCGCGGCTCAGTAGGCTAATCCTCCACCTAGTGGCGCCGGCACATTGGGTTCCAGACCCGATCGGGGCGCTGGATTCTGTCCCGGTTGCCCCTCTTCCAGGCCACCTCTCTGCTGTGGCCCGGGAAGGCAGTGGAGGATGGCCCAAGTGCTTGGGCCCTGTACCCCATGGGAGACCAGGAGAAGCACCTGGCTCCTGTCATCGGATCAGCGCGGTGCACCAGCTGCAGCTCGCTGGCTGCGGTGGCCATTGGAGGCTGAACCAAGGGCAAAAAGGAAGACCTTTCTCTCTGTCTCTCTCTGTCCACTCTGTCAAAAAAAAAAAAAAAAAAAAAGTTACAGCATAGCTCTGGCTGGAATGTATGACTACCACTACAAGGGTAGAATATTTTTAGGAACTTTAGATAGTCAATATTTCTTGCAAAAAATTAAAATCTACTATTAAACTCTTCCCAAGAAGAATTCACATTTATGAGGTCTGTTTTAAGTTCTGAAATGCTTTTTACCCTAAAGTACTCTAAAACAGCCAGGTGAACACAAAAACTCATTGGTGACCTCCAAAGGACTGCATATCTGAAGAGTTAAAGTTAACAACCCACACTAAAGATAAAATTTACAATATCTTATGTTGGTGGTTCAACAAAGCACTTCCACCTTTCAATCAGTTCTCATAAAGTCTTAGACTACTTTGTGATACCAAGGAAACGAACAGGTGGACTGTTTAGATCTTAAATCTGAAATGATCTGTGGGCCAAAGAAAAGGTAAGTTATTCTTCACCTCTGTGGTAAACAATATTTTGGAGAAAGTGGTAGCATATATCAAACAGCTTCTACCCCTCAGCTACATTTTGACTCTGGGCAAGGTGAATCCAAAATCTGAACAGACTACCTAGTGACTAGTAACTAGTGAAGAGGTGACTTTGATTTCAAGATCTGTGAACATAACAGTCTACTTGGATAACTACTTTGATCTATGTGCATCTTTTTAGGGACCTATTTATCAAGATGCAGCATATCCATATACGGAAGACTACCCCTGTCAATTTGAATTGTAACAGAATATGCTCTTTACTTCAAGGAATTATTTATTCAGAAGTATCTAGCTTATAATATACAATAAAACATTTATACTATGCTGTCTTGCTCCTACCACCAGATATTAAATTTTAAAAAAAAATTAAAAGGCAGAGTTTCAGAGAGATGGAGATAGAAAAGGGAATTATCTTCTATCTACTAATTCACTCCCCAAAAGCTTGCAGTGACTGGGGGTAGGCCAGACTGAAGCCTGAAGCCAGGAACTCCATCAAGTCCCCCACCTGGGTGGCAGGAACCCAGGCAGATTAGCAGGAAGCTGGACTGGAAGCACAGAGAATTTGGGACATCAGACAGGCAATGTGATATGGGATGCAAGAATCCCAAGTGGTGGCTTAACTTCGTGAACCACAATGTCAGGCCCCAACAATGAAACTGATCTGTGTTTTGAGTGACTATGTAATTTGATTTCCTTGCAGCATGTACACAGCATTGCATACATGATTTTGTCTAACAAAAAAATTTTCACAGAAGAGCAAGGTGTCAAACAATCTAAATATTAAGGAAAGTTGCCAATCATATAAATTATCCATTGTAAAGCACAAAACTGAAAACTTTGTTAAAAAGTGCCCTAACATACAAAAGAATCCAGTCACTTCCATAAAGTTCTACCAAAAATAAAGTGGTCTATATTTTGAATATTCAAAATCATAATTAGTCAAAGTGAAACAACAAAAAATTATAGAATCAGAATTCTACTTCAAAAACTCATCATGTTGTTGGTGTTTGGCCTGGGATTACATTGTCACTTGCGACGTTCCCATCCCATACTGGATTTGAGTCCCAGCTCTGCTTCTAGTCCAGCTTCCTGGGAAGTAGATGACTCTCATAAGTGAGCTCCTGACACCCATGCCGGAGACCCAGAATGAGTTCCAGGCTCCTAGCCTTGGCCTGGCCCAAATGTTGCAGGCATTTGGGGAGTGGAATAACTGTCTACCTTTCAAATTAAAAAATCTGTCTAAAAACAAACAAAATACACCCATAGCCCTTAACTAAGAAATTTTATTGCTAGTAAAATGTTAAGACATTAATTCATTTGCAGCATATAAAATAAAAATACAAAAGAACATTTAGTTTCACATATGAAACTAGAAATATTTAAACTTTTGGGGCTGGTACTGAGGCGTGGTGGATAAAGCCACCCCCTGCAGTGTCAGCACCCCATATGGGGACCAGTTCAAGTCCCAGCTGTTCCACTTCTGATCTAGCTCCCTCCTATGTTCTGGGAAAGCAGTAGAAGATGGCCCCTATGTGCTTGGGCCCTCGCACCCATGTGGGAAACCCAGAAGAAGCTCCTGGCTCTTGGCTTCAGATCGGCCAAGCTCCGGCCACTGTGGCCATTTGGGGAGTGAACCAGCACGTGGAAGATCTTTATTTCTCTCTCTAATTCTGCCTTGCAAATAAATTAAACTTTTTTTTTCATATAGAGGAAAAAAAAAAAAAACCAGGGGGACAGTCTCTAGATTACTAGCTTAAAATAAAGCAATAAGGCCGGCGCCGTGGCTCACTAGGCTAATCCTCTACTTTGCGGCGCCAGCACACCGGGTTCTAGTCCTGGTGGGGCGCCGGATTCTGTCCCGGTTGCCCCTCTTCCAGGCCAGCTCTCTGCTGTGGCCCGGGAGTGCAGTGGAGGATGGCCCAAGTACTTGGGCCCTGCACCCCATGGGAGACCAGGAGAAGCACCTGGCTCCTGGCTTCGGATCAGCGTGATGCACCGGCCGCAGCGTGCCGGCCACAGCGTGCCGGCCGCGGTGGCCATTGGAGGGTGAACCAATGGCAAAGGAAGACCTTTCTCTCTGTCTCTCTCTCTCACTGTCCACTCTGCCTGTCAAAAAAAAGCAATAAATAATTAAAACATAAAAGTATTATTTTACAGAAAACTGACATCTATAATTATAAGACAGACTTCAGTATTACTTATACCCAACTCTAAAAAAATACCACTTAAACACACATGCGCACACACACACACACACACACGTAAATGTCTCCCCCATGACCTGGTTGAAGATGACCAGCTTTAAAATCAATAAAATATTGTTCAGACTTACACAAATACTTTAATAAAGGCAAATACTATTAAAACTGAACTTGTTTGTAGGACGCACTGTCTTAAAAGTTATCAAATGGAGTTTTTCCTATTGTGACTATATTATTAGAAATTTTCTTTTTTGGGGGAAGATTTATTTATTTATTTGAAAGGCAAAGTAAATAGAGAGAGAATGAGAGAGTGAGAGAGAGTTCTTCTATCCAAGAGGTCACTCCCCAAATGGCCGCAAAAGCCAGGGCTGGGTCAGGCTGAAACCAGGAGCCTGGAACTCCATCTGGATCTCCCACAAAGAGTATCAAGGGCCCAAGTATTTGGGGCCATTCTCCACTGCTTTCCCAGGCACATTAGCAGGGAGCTAGATTGGAAATGGAACAGCAAAGACTCAAACTGGTGCCCATATGGGATGTTGGCATAGCAGGCGGCAGCAACTTAACCAGCTATGCCACAACGTTAGCCCCTAGAAATTTTCTTAAAATGTAGGTAAGAAAAATCTTCAGGGAATTATAGTAAACCTTCAATTTTTAAATACTTTATTTTTTAATTATTTTTTTAATTATTGAGTTACATTTATAGAGAGAAAAAGGATCAGAATACAAATGAATGGCACTTCTGAATGAAAAGCATAGTCAAGGTCTATTATCAGGGAGAATAAACACTGGGGAAGAGACATCATTTAATCATCTTTTCTTTTATACCACAGTCTGAATGATACTTAGGGGCAGGACACTGAAAATGTGCTCAGGCAAAGAAATTCTCCTTGTTCCCTTCACCCTCTATGCCATTCCACTGTCAGGGAAGTAGGGAGGGAAGAACAAAGAAGAAAATATTACCAAACAGGTACTGCAGAATATACTGAGGTCCAGACTCCCTGTTTCTGCAAGTTCAACTATTGTCTGCAAATTTAAAAAAATATTTTATACAAAACTGAACAATGTTCACCAATTCTTGTCATCAGCATGAATTAATAAATGATGCTCATCTTTAATTTACCAATATTTTCAGCTCAAAATAAGAAGACCTTTTGTTCATTTACTTGTATTATTTCAATATAATAAGAATAATGAGTAACACCAACATAGAAATCTCTGCCCAGGAAACAGGGGATTAGACCTTGATAATCTGCCACTGTCTTAGCCTACTGTGAATAGGAATAATTCATCAGAATTTGCTGGGTTTTTTTTCCCCCCACAGACTGGATAAAACAGCTCTTAAAATGATCTTAAATACTTCTAGTCCAATTCTCCTCTTTTCTGACATATTTAGATTATGAATTTGTTTTCCTAAGTACCTGAGCTATAGAAAATGGATACCCAGGATTGTATATGGTAATATTTCTGTTATTTGAAAGGTATATCTATACTATTGGCCTTCTGTCTTACACAGCCATATAACAAAAATATACTAAATACATTTATTTGCTGGGGATTTTGAGATGTTTAAGATGTTACATTCACCTATGAAAGTAGTCACTATTGTCTTAAAATGGGTAGAAACATGAAATTATGAAATGCCATCAGAGTGTAAAGACAGGCATCACAAAGCACCAAGGATGAATATCCAATAAACTACATATAATCCTGATATACAATGAAACTTTATATATGCCAAAAGGCAGTATCTTCTTTGGTACTTTCTAATATTTGTTATAAATACTGACAATCTGGCAGTTGAACATATATGACCTAGATTGTATTTTGCTACCTTCTTCTTTTGTTCTTCTGTAGCTTTAATAATCCCTGGATCTGATTTCCAAGATTTTCCAAAATTGTAGAAAAGTGCAACACTATTGGCGAGGAATGGAAGATGGATAAATAAAAAGTTAAGATGTGTCTAAAGTTAAGGACTCTAAAGAAGCAATGATAAATGAGTAATTTTATATAAATTTATAATTCACAAAATCTTACCACACAATACCCATGAATCAAAAATGCAACATTTTTATTAAGATACATTTCTTCACTGTGTTTACAATTAAATATAAAAATTAAAAATGTGACTTTTTCTTAACCGGAAATCAGGCAGGATCGTCTAACCCTTTAAAAGTCAGCAAGTACATGAAAATTCAGTGAATATTTTTAAAGGATCAAATTATTTTATGATAATAAAGGGATTTCTTGTGTTTAAAATATTAACATACACTTCATCTAAATGCATTAAAATTATATAATCTACCAAACACATTATATAATCAGTGTCAGACATTTAAAAGATTAACTACAGAAAAGTAAAAAAAAGGAAGAAAAATATTTTCTCCTTTGTCTTTTTTGATGACACTCAAGTTGACCTTAATTTTAGAAAAGGTAATTTATAATCCTATTTAATGGTTTCACATCTCCTCTAATGAAACCAAAGCAATGTACTAGGTACCTAGACATAATTAAAACACTATTTTAAATAATACTATGAAAAATAAATGCACAAAACATCTGGTATACTCAAATGCCACTTTCCACATTTTTTGTGGATACAAGTATCACACAAAATTTTGTAATATTATGTGTATATACTGTCCATATTTCTTGAGAAGCAAAGAAAGAAAAAGAACAGTTTTGAGTGAAATCTTCCTGTATCTGTTTGATACATACCAAAACACTAAACAAAACCTTTAAAACACAGGGGAAACAAGGAAAAAATTAGCTACTAATTATTTCTTGTTATATTCAAAAGTAACCTATTTTTTGCCAGTCATCTACACCCCCCCCAACTTTTTAACTTTGTTCTACAAAATACACTGTCAGCAGAGAGTAAATAAATCAATTTTCTGCTAGTCTGACAGCTAAAAAAAATCTCCTGAGAATGAAGTTCGTTAAATGTATAAGGGTACCTCAAAAAGCTTGTAGAAAAATATAATTAAGAGATAAGTTTATTTTTGTTGAAAAATTTTAAATCATATTTTTCAAAATATAAACTTTCTAGGAACTTTTTAAAGATCTCTTAGATGTGCAAAGAACACAGAATTCCTGGCCAGTATCTTTACTTATTTACAACAGTTTCATGCTTTCTTGCTATTTGGTTAAATCTTTTTTTTTTTTAACAGTTTCATCCTTTCTTGCTATTTGGTTAAATCTTTTTTTTTTTTTTTTTTTTTTTTTGACAGGCAGAGTAGACAGTGTGTGAGAGACAGACAGAGAGAAAGGTCTTCCTTTTTGCCCTTGGTTCAGCCTCCAATGGCCGGCGCACCGTGCTGATCAGATGGCAGGAGCCAGGTGCTTCTCCTGGTCTCCCATGGGGTGCAGGGCCCAAGGACTTGGGCCATCCTCCACTGCCTTCCCGGGCCACAGCAGAGAGCTGGCCTGGAAGAGGGGCAACCGGGACAGAATCCGGCACCCCGACCGGGACTAGAACCCGGTGTGCCGGCGCCACAAGGCGGAGGATTAGCCTACTGAGCCGCGGTGCCGGCAATTTGGTTAAATCTTAAAACAGTTTCAAAAAGTTGTTTACATGTAAATAAATAGGTCAGGCTCTTACAGCCTGGATTAAATTTGCAGAGGGCCACTAGCAGCTCAACACATGACACCATATACATACACATATAGAGATACATTTCTCCATGATGTTTACAACTAAATATAAAAAGTAAAAAATGTGACTTCTTTAAACCTTAAATCAAGTTATCCAACCCTTTAAAAGTCAGCAAATACATTAAATATTTTTAAAGGATCAAATTTCCTTTGACAATATATACATACACACATATGTGTGTGTATATATATATGATATACAGGATTTAAATATCAGATAAAGAATTCTTCTGCTTGCTTTTTAAATGTAAGATTAGATGTCTTCAAATTGCATTTTGAACTTAGTTTTTGCAAAAGCTCAGACAAGCCAATTTTAAAAATTTAAGTGAAATCAGCACTCTACAAATGGCATGGTTATTTTTCCTATTAATGTAGTTTTACAGAAAATCAGAAAGCACTGAAAAAATAGACAAAAATGAATTCCACAATCCAGAGATAACTTTTTAACATGCATTTTTAATAACTGGGATCATAGTGTATTTAAGGTTAACAAAGTAAGTAACACTAATCACTGACAATGCACCATTCAAGGAATATGAAAACTATTGTAAATCCTGCTATCCTCACTTGACATAATAAAACCGAGGAGGAAGATTTTGGAAACAATATCCCTAGGGTGGAAAGGGGGAGTGTGTGAAGATTTTTTAAGACTAGATACTGGGGCCGGTGCTGTGGAGTAGCAGGAAAAGCAACTGCCTGCAGTGCCGGCATCCCATATGGGTGCCAGTCTGAGTCTCGGCTGCTCCACTTTCAATCCAGCTCTCTGTTACAGCCTGGGAAAGCAGCAGCACATGGCCCAAGTCCTTGGGTCCCTGCACCCACGTGGGGGACCTGAAGGAGGCTCTTGGCTCCTGGCTTCATATTGGCGCAGCTCTAGCTGCTGCTCCCAACTGGGGAGTGGACCATCAGATGGAAGACCTCTTTCTCTCTCTCTCCCCCTCTCTCTGCCTCTCTCTTTGTTACTCTTTAAAATAAATAAATAAATCTTCAAAAAAAAAAAAAAAGGCTTGATATCTACTTTTATATCATCAGATTGTTTTCCAGAAAGATATACCAATTTATACCCACTAGCAGGAAATATTTAATTAGTACATATGTATTACCACTGACAATCTTAGAGGCAAAAGAACCATTATTTTATTGCTTCAATTTCCATTTATGTTTTTATGCTTCAACAGTACTCCCCTTAGAGGTAAAATAAAAAATCTGTCATCAATATTTTCACTTAAATGGCTATGGAATCATTATTGATACTTAATTCTAAAATATTTGTATATTATTTTGACACCTATAGCTTTTTTTTTTTTTTTTGACAGGCAGAGTGGTCAGTGAGAGAGAGAGAGAGACAGAGAGAAAGGTCTTCCTTTGCCGTTGGTTCACCCTCCAATGGCCGCCGTGGCCGGCACGCTGCAGCCGGCGCACCGCGCTGATCCGATGGCAGGAGCCAGGTACTTATCCTGGTCTCCCATGGGGTGAGGGCCCAAGGACTTGGGCCATTCTCCACTGCACTCCCTGGCCAAAGCAGAGAGCTGGCCTGGAAGAGGGGCAACCGGGACAGAATCCGGCGCCCCGACCGGGACTAGAACCCGGTGTGCTGGCGCCGCTAGGCGGAGGATTAACCTAGTGAGCCGCAGCGCCGGCCCGACACCTATAGCTCTAATTTGATTATATTTAAAGAAACATATCTGAGTAACACTTTCAAGTTTGAAGGTCAAAGTGTGTAATTCATCTACTAAATTTCTTCTGCATAACAATCAAGAAAATGAACCAAAAAGTTAATCAAAGAAATCAGCAACTTCACAAAAAGGATAAGCCATTCTATATCAAGAAACTCAAAACTGAAGGTAAAGAAAAGCAGAGGATTCTTCACCATGACCAACTGTGAACTGAAACTGATCACCTGGAACAGTGAGATGGCATTGGTACATGCCACCTCGATGGGATTGAATTGGAATCCCCTGGTATGCTTCCAACTCCACCACTTGGGGCAAGTCAGCCTGAGCATGTCCCAAATTATACATGGTGAAGGGACTGGGAGTCAAAGGGAGCACATAGACAAGTCTAGTACCTGCTAACGCTAACTGATGGAGTAAATAAAGGGGAGAGTGATCCAACATGGGAAGTGAGATACTCAGCAGACTCATAGAATGGCAGATGTCCTAAATAGCACTCTGGCCTCAGAATCAACCCTAAAGGCATTCGGAGCTGGCTGAAGAGCTCATGAGAGTATTTCAGGCATGGAAAGCCAAGACACTCTGGCAAAAGATCTCCACGAGTGAGATCCCAGTGGAAAGAACAGGTCATCAAAGAAGGAGGTACCTTTCTCTGAAGGGAGGAGAGAACCTCCACTTTGACTATGACCTTGTCTAAACAAGATAAGAGTCGGAGAACTCAGAGGGCTTCCATAGCCTTGGAAACTCATGACTGGAGCATAGGGAGATTACTGATGCCATAGACAGGAGTGTCAATTGGTAAAGTCAACAACAGGAGTCACTGTGCACTTACTCCTCATGTAGGATCTCTATCCTTAATGTGCTGTGCATTGAGATTTAATGCTATAACGAGTACTCAAACAATATATTTCACTTTGTGTTTCTATGGGGGTGCAAACTGTTGAAATCCTTACTTAATGCATACTAAACTGATCCTCTGTAAAAAAAAAAAAAAAGAAATTATCAATTCCCAACTTGACTCTCACTGGGATTAAACATGACAATAGGTCTGCTCTGATTTCATCATCATTTAAAAAAAATCATCTATTATTTTTCACTTTATGTTTCTGTGTGGGAGCAAACTGTTGAAATCCATACTTAATGTATACTAAGCTGATCTTCTGTATATTAAGATAATCGAAAATGAATCTTGATGTGAATGGAAGGGGAGAGGGAGTGGGAAAGGGGAGGGTTGTGGGTGGGAGGGACGGTATGAGGGGGAAGCCATTGTAATCCATAAGTCGTACTTTGGAAAATTATATGCATTAAATAAAAGTTTAAAAAAAAAAAAAAAAGAAAAGCAGAGGATTCTGGTGAGGCAGGCTGCCTGGGGTAGCTCTTACTCCTGCCTCTACTTATGTAAGTACTGTGAAAAACTGCCAATGAGAAGACCTGAGAACCCAGGTCGGCCCTCTGCTACAGTTGTGTGACCCTCAACCTCCTATCAAAATTCATGTTATTTATTCAATAGAATGATATCTGGAGTTTTGGAAAGCAATTAAAAGTTGGGGCCGATGCTGTGGTGCAGTGGGTTAAAGCCGCCGCCTACACTGCCAGCATCCTAGATGCTCCACTTCTGATCCAGCTCTCTGCTGTGGCCTGGGAAAGCAGTAGAAGATGGCCTGGGTCCTTGGGCCCCTGCAGCCACTTCAGCAGCTGGAAGAAACTCCTGGCTCCGGATTGGCGCAGCTCCAGCCATTGTGGCCAATTGGGGAGTAAACCAGCAGATGGAAGAACTTTCTCCTTCTCTCTCTCTACCTCTCCTTCTCTGTGTAATTATGACTTCCAAATAAATAAATAAATCTTTAAAAAACCAAGTAATTAAAGTTGGGGCCCACGCTGTGGTGCAGCAAGTTAAAGCCCTGCTGCCTGTTCGAGTCTCGGCCGAGCTGCTCCACTTCCGATCCAGCTCCTTGTTAATGTGCCTGGGAAAAGAAGTAGAGGATGGCCCAAGTGCTTGGGCCCCTGCACCCACATGGGAGACCTGGAAGAAGCTGCTGGCTCCTGGCTTTGCAACAGCTCAGCTCCAGCTGTTGCAGCCATCTGGGGAGTGAACCAGTAGATGTCTCTCTCTAAATATAATTTTTTCAAATAAATAAAAAACAAATCTTAAAAAAAAAGAAATTAAAGTTAAATGGGATCATAAGGGTGAGGTCCTAAAACAACAGGACTGTGGCCTTATAAGGAGAGGGAGAGGGAGAACTTTCTTACTTTCTCTCCTTGTCACATGAGGATACACAAAGAAGAGTTTTCTGCAAGCAAGGAAGAAAGTCATCACCAGAAAACTGGGAGAAAATCACTCTCATTTAAAGCGCTCGGTCTGCAGTGTATTGTTAAAGCAGCCTGAGCTGACTAACACCTAACTGGATCCTTCAGCTCCAATCAACTGCAAGGAAAAAGATGAAGCGGTGAGCAGGTAAGCCAAGAAAACCCCTTCAGAAATAGAAGTCTATGAATCCCACTGTGTGGTTTCCACTAAGCCTCAAAAAATACCAGAGTTTGTCATTAAAATGGTTATCTTACATACACTGGGAGAGTGGTTATGGGGGATAATGCTAGCATCATTCCATGGCTAACGCTAGATAGAATGGAATCACAGGCAGAACTTTTAAGATCTTAAAATAGCTAAACCCAAGGTCCTGAGCCAAGAACTTAAAACTGAGCTCTCTTTTATCCTCAGGATACAAAAAAAAAAAAAAAAAGGATAGAAATTTAGCCAGATTGTAACACTGAAGAGATATTTATTCTACTACCTTTCAGGAAAGGAAAAAGTTCAAGAATGAATTCGTAATATATCAGAGGAAGCATGAAAGTCTTAATGAATCTGCCCAAGTTAGTCATGAACAAGATGAAAGATGAAAAGAAATGGTCTAACAACATTACTAGCATACATTTAAAAAAAAAGAAGAGGAAGAAAATAGGTACACAGTATTCACAAAACAAAGGACCCAGTCTGGAAGGAAACATAACCCAAGGAAAAATGCGAATTAACCAAAGATGTTTCATAATTGAATTAAAATACAAATCCTACAAAGAGCTTAAAAATTAAGATAAAACAATTACAACCAGATGAAAAGGGTGCCTCTAGAAATCAGAAAACAAAGACTAAACCATTATATATGAAATCAAATTTCATAAAGATGAATAGAAGGAGCATCAAAAGACTAAGGCAATCACAATACATAAGAGAAAAAATTCAAAATAATAATTAGAGACCAAAGGATAAGACAGATGACAGCCAAAGATAGTTCAACATAAGGACAATGTTATCCCTGAAGAGGGCAATACCACAAATAGAATTCAGAGATCATAATTTAGAAAAATTCCCAAGAACTGAAGAAAAACCTTCATTTTTAATATTGTATACATAATATATTATCTCTACAATGAAAAGACATCCTGTGTACTAGGAAAATCTGAGGGGCAATAATCAGCATCCTCTGTAACATACTAGGTACTTTTCAGACTCAACGACAATGTCTTCTTGAGTAAAATTTTTAAAAGTTAAAGGCTTTGTTGAGCTTTTGGTAGAATAAGAGAGTCCTTTGAGAAATAGACAAGATAAGTAAGCACAAATCTACAAGTATATTGATTCAAAAATTTAGTGTCCACTCTTATGCATTAAGCATTAGAATAGTCACATTGGGACATGAAGAATGAGTAGAACAGATATGCTTACTTTTATAAAAAGAAATGACCTCTGGAATGACTTTCAATTTCCAGACATACCTTCTAACTTTATATTTCCTAAAGTGGACATTAAAATTTATTTTCAAAGAAAAAAAGTTCAAATTCGTATCCAGAAATAATTTTAAATTGTTGATGTACTCCTAATCTGCTATGTGAAAGTGGAAAAATCAGGAAAGTTAGATATTATCAAATAATGAAAACTTAGTGGCAGAGTACAATAAAGTGTCATAGGAATCTTTTTTTCTATTTATTTGGAAGTAATATAGCTATACAAGCTTATAAAAGCTGAGAATATGACAAGTAGATTTTTTAAAAAAATTTGTTTGAAAGAATTAGAGAGAGAAGGACACACACACACACACACACACACACAATCTATCAATCTTCCATCTGCTGCCTCCCTACCCAAATGGTTCGACAGCCTGGGCTGGGCCAAACCAGAGCCAGGAGCTTCTCAGTCTCCTACATGGGTGTGTGGGCCCACGTACTTGGGCCATCCTCTGCTGCTTTCCCAAGTGCATTAGCAGAGAGCTGGATCAGAAGTGGAACAGCTGGGACTCAAACTGGCGCCCATATGGGATGCCAGCACTGCAGACGGCAGCTTTACTCATTGCGCCACAGTGCCAGTCTCAAAATGGTAGATTTTGAAGGGCAGGCCAGAACAGGTTTATTTAATTTCTGTTTAAATATTTCTGCCTTTAAATTACACTGGTATATATTTTATCTTTAAAAAAAATTGAATAACTTGGGGCCGGCGCTGTGGCGCAACAGGTTAACACCATGGCCACATGGACACCAGTTCTAGTCCTAGCTGCTCCTCTTCCGATCCAGCTCTCTACTATGGCCTGGGAGAGCAGTAGAAGATGGCCCAAGTCCTTGGGCCCCTGCACCCACGTGAGAGACCTGGAAGAAGCTCCTGGCTCCTGGCTTCAGATCAGCGCAGCTCCAGCCGTTGTGGCCAGTTGGGGAGTGAACCATTGGATAGAAGACCTCTCTCTCTCTCTCTCTCTCTCTCTGCCTTTCCTCTCTCTGTGTAACTCTGACTTTCAAATAAATAAATAAATATTTTAAAAAAATTGAGTAACTTGTTCATCTAATTTTTTTTTGAGAAAAGTTTTACTGGCAACTCTCAGAATATAACTCATTGAGGAGAGAGGTCCTGCATGGGAATTAGTGCACAGTGACCCCCATTGTTGACTTAACAACACTCTTCAAATAAAAATTGTAGTCTGAGAATATTAAGTTTTAAAGGTATCTGTCTCACAGAATTTTTGAGAAGATGGACACCTTAGTATACACTTTACATGTAAATATTTAATATTGATTAGTACTTGTTGGTGTTCAAGGTTTCAGTTTTTGGAGCATTTTGGATTTTGGGTTTTCAGATCAGTGATTCTCAACTGGTACTAAATTAAAGAATGTGAGTTCAATGAATACTGAAGAAAATGCTTCTTAAACATTCAATAAGTAGTAGTTACTTTTACTATTATTTATGCTATTAAAGGTAGCTTTCAAAGGCAGTCTATTAAATATGAAACATAAAAAATTATTTCTAGTAGTTCATACTTATTTTTCTAAGAATACTGTTTTACATCATCAAGAGTACTTCAGTCCTATTGTGAAATTATTAGCAAACATTTGATTAAAAAACAAATTTGTGCTAGAAACAATCTTTAAAAAAGGATATCATTCCAAAACCAGAAAAACCACGTTACATACATCCAGAATTTGGTTGCCAAATATATCCCAAGGGGCAATGCACTATGCATTGAATGATCAAAAAAGGATCTGAAAAACAGAAGTTTTGTAAAATAAGTTCTATATTATAAAAATGAATGTTCATTAAAATGATAATGACATACATTCTTCAGAGTAAGGACTTGTTTAAACAGAATCTGGAAGTTTGACTTGCTTAAAAACCTAAGAGAGTTCTTATGGTAATGAATAGTAAATGACTTTACAGCAGAATGAGTTGCTAAGACTCTGAAATTTCTTTTAGTTCATCAAGAATTAAAATTATATTCCATGTACTCTTCAACTTCAGAATCTCAGTATATTCTTATTAAGTCAATAATTCACTTTACTATATATAGTATTCTTCCAGCATAGTATTCAACAAAGACATGCTATTTTTACAAATGAAGCTTATATTTATAATACTTAAAGGAAAAATAAATATTAATAAATTTCATTAAACATAAACTTCTATGTTTATGCAGGCTAACTAGGAAGCCTTGATGACTTTCTATTTCTACTATCACTTGGAACTCATATAAATACTAAATGCAATTAACAAGAACTAAGCCATTCTTTGAGAAACACGTTAGCATATTACTAATCATTCTCATCTGGGTGAATTTGATTTTAAGAACTCCGTTTCGAAATTCAGATGAAAATGAGATACTAACAGAATCGAACTCAGATGGAAGTAAACACATGCCTACGTCTGCTGGCTGGGGCAACTTTAGGGTAAAAAGATCTACGGGGAAGAGGAAAAAGGAATGGTCACAATATTCAATGAAGAAAGAGGAAACAATGAAAAAAACAGAGCCTATTTCATAATTAGAGTCTGCTCTGCTACTAAAAATAAAACCTCTTCTTTCTTGCTGCCAATGACCAAAGAAAATGGTAACTTCAATGAAAAGGTGAGCTCAAATATTATAATTACCAAAATAGACAATATATACTACACCTAGAGTTCAGAAACCTTAGTTGACTTCTATTGAAACCTATCAAATAATTTGAATTTGTATTTTAGCCTTAAAACTTACAAGCTAAAAATTATTATAAATTATTGTCAGTAAAGCCTTTCAACTTCAGAATCACATTAGAATGCTAAAAAAATCAGAATATACAAACTTCTCAAAATTCTTTAAATAACAAATTAAGATCAAACCATAAAAAAAACAGTGTAAACTTACATTAATTTTGTATAGTGTACGAATTATATTTTTCCATATACAGTTCAAAATAATTAAAAACAACACACTTACTTTGAAAGAAACTGTACTGTAGCCCAAACGCCACCATACATTAGCCCTTTAATGAGCCAAGAATCAATATTTAGGTCTGCTATAAACCCAACCAGCCAAATAACTAGGAAAGGAGTTCCTAGCATGACTTTCTGCCGAAATTCCTGTAGAGAAACAAACAATTAGAAAGCTTTTGCATGTTCAAATCACTTCTATCTGAAAGTCTTATTTTTTGAAAGTATGAACAGGAGGTGAAATTCATTCATTCAGATATGCCTACTATGTGCAGTAATATTCAAGGTGTTGGCCTCTATCTTCTGACAGACATAGGCACTGAACAATATAAAAGAACTTCGTTAAAATTGAGGAGAATGAGAACAGACATTCTAAGAATGGGTTCTAATTGGTCAGAGACATTAGACAGCAGGACCACCTGGTAACACGTAGACTGGCAAGAAAATGCTTCATAATAGCTTGTTTTAGTGTCCCCCTTTTACAGGGGCATAGATAACTACAAGATGATTAGAATAACTAATGGATTAAGAACTATATCAGGTAAAGAAAGCTGAAGATGGCCACACTGGAGAAAAATTTTGAGTAATGCATATAAACACTATATTAAAACATAAAAATGTGATAAGAATGAAATCTCCAGGCTCCCAGAGTCCACAAAACAGAGACATTTGCCTCTGAAGAGCAATCAAACAGAGTGCTCAATATTCCAGAAATTATTCCATTTTGTTTCTATACTGGTCTGGCTGTTAGAAAGTCCATACTTGTGTTGATGGCGGCAGGGCACCCACTTAAGCATATGAGGCACCCACTCCCCTTAATCTATCATGGGCAAACTTATTCACACTGCCAACATAGAACACCAACAGGCAGTAGGCTCTGGGAACACCTCAGCTCTTTCCATGGATGGAGCAGAGCACACTGGAGGGTGGACCCCTGATACTTATAACTGTGGGAATTCTGCAACTGCATGATAGGGACTGAGGTGTAGCTGGATCTCTGGGAAATCAACGTGTCTGGCTTCAAAGGCTCACAGTTCCCTGAGTGCTTGTGGTAGATCATGCACAGGGTTGTGTGCTCACACTGAGGAACATCCAGATCCTACATGGGTTGGGTATATAGCAACTGTGGGCTTGCCCTGGGCATTGATCACATTGGCAGAAAGGCGGTGAGACAGTGATCATACCAACTGATGTGATCCTACTGAACCCCTGCTAATAATACAGGAGATCTATCAAATCCATCAACAAATGTCTAAACACAAACAGAAGTACAAGAAACATGAACAATGAAGACAATATGACTCCCCCGAAAGAACACTTCAATTTTATAATGTGAAGGAAAAGAGATTGATGACATGCCTGAAAAAGGAATTCAAAAGAATGATCATAGAATTATTCAAGGGGCTGATGCTGTGGCATAGCAAGTAAAGCCTCCGCCTGCAGTGCTGGCATCCCATATGGGTGCTGGTTTGAGTCCCAGCTGCTCCACTTCCAATCCAGCTCTCTGCTATGGCCTGGGAAAGCAGTGGAAGATGACCCAATTCCTTGGGCCCCTGCACCCACGTGGGGACCCAGAAGAAGCTCCTGACTCCTGGCTTTGGATCGGCGCAGCTCTGGCTGTTGCAGCCAACTGGAAAATTAACAGCAGGTGGAAGACCTCTTTTTCTCTCTGCCTCTCCTTCTCTCTGTGTATAACTCGTTGAAATAAATAAATCTTTAAAAAAATTACTCAGAAATAATGAAAAGCAAATTCATGAGTTAAAGAAATCCATACATGACATTATGAAAAGATACTGACGAGAAATAAATCTGAAACATTAGAAATGAAGAATTCAATAGCTCAAATAAAAAATACAGTAGAAAGCCTTAACAACACACTTGGTGAGGCAGAAGAAAGAATACCCAAGATAAAAAGACAAATATGTGGAAATATCTCAGATTAAAAAAAAAAAAAAAGCAGAAAAAATGGAAAACTGAAATCAGTGTCCAAGATATATGGGATACTATCAAACGACCTAACACTGGGTCCTAGGAGTTCCCGAAGGTGTAGAAACAAAGAATGGATTAGATGTTTTCAGTTAAATAATAGCAGAAAACTCCCCCAATCTGGAGAAAGATAGAGACATCCCAGCACAGGAAGAACACAAAACTCCTAACAGACATGACCAAAGAAGATCTTTACCATGAAACATTATAGTCAAGTTTTCAACAGTAAAACATAAAAGATTCTAGAATGTGCACAAGAGAAATGCCAGATTACCTTCAGAGGATCTCCCATTAGACTGACAACTAATTTCTCATCAAAAACCCTACAAGCTAGGAGAGAATGGAGAGACATAGTCCAAGTCTTAAGGGAAAAAAATGGTCAACCAAGAATACTGTACCCTGCAAAGCTCTCAAGTATAAATGTAGGAGAAATAGACACCTTCTAAAACAAAAAGAAATTGAAACAATTTGTCACCACTCATTCAGTCTTACGAATGATACTTAAGGATGTGCTACAAATAAAGCAAGTTTCAAAAAAGAATAACATAGGCCTGAAGGCCTGAAATCATACCGTGTTCTTTACTGACCACAATGGAATGAGGCTGGACATTAACAACCTAAGAAACTCTAGAAAATATGCAAACACATGGAGATTGAACAGTATACTCCTGAATGAACAGGTCACAGAAGAAATCAAAAGGGAAAAGAAAGTTCTAGAAATGAATAAATATGAAACACATCATATCACATCAAAATTTATAGGACACAGAAAAGACAGTGTTATGAGGAAAGTTTATAGCAATTACTGCATACATGAAACAACTGGAAATCCATCAAATGAAAGATATAACAATGTATCTTAAAGACCTACAGAAAAAGGAACAAACCAATCCCAAAATTAGGAGGAAAGAAACAATTAAAATTAGATATGAAATAAACAAACTTAAAACCAAAAAAAGATACAAAAGATCAGTGAAAAGAGCTGTTTTTAGAAAAATAAAATTGATATACCATTAGCCCTACCAAGAAAAAAAGGAAGACTGAATTAATAAAATCATGGATGAAAAAAAAAGGAGATGTTACAATAGGTACCACAAAAATAAAAAGAATCATCAGTATATGGTAAAAAATGCTATATGCAAACAAAATGGGAAATCTAGAAGAAGCAGATACATTTTTAGACACATAAAATCTACCAAAATTGAGTCACTAAGACACAGAAAATCTAAAAAGACAAATAACCAAGACTGAGATTGAGTTAGTAATAAAACCCTTCCTAACAAAGAAAAGTCCAAGAATGGAAGGCTCCACTGCTGAATTCTACCAAAACTTTAAAGAACTAATTCCAGTATTTTTTCAAACTATTCAAAAACAACTGAAAGAGAGGGAACCCTCCCAAACTCCTGTGAAGCCAGCATTACCTTAATTCCAAAACTAGAAAAAGACAACAAAGAAAGATAACTATACACCAATATGCCTGATGAGCACAGATGCAAAAATTAAAAAACAAAACAAAACAAAAAACCAGCTAATCGAATTGAACCATACCAGAAAGACCATTCACCCAGATCAAGTGAGATACCCCTGGTATGCAGGGATGGTTCAAATTACACAAATCAATAAACGTGATAAATCACACTGACAAACTGTAGAATAAAAACCATATGATTATCTCAATAGATACAAAGAAAGCATTTGCTAAAACCTCAACAGATACAGAGAAAGCATTTGCTAAAACAAACATCCTTTCCTGACAATAACCTTAAGCAAACTGGGCATAGAAGGAACATTGTTCAACACAGTCAAGGTAGTATATGACAAACTCATGGTCAACATCATACTGAACAGGGAAAAGTAGGAAGCATTTCCACTAAGATCTGGAACCAGACAAGGTTGCACACTCTCACCATTGCTGTCCACTATAGAACTAGAGGTTTTAGCAAGAGCCATTAGGCAAGAAAAATAAATCAAAGGGATACAAATTGGAAAGGAGGAAGTCATATTAACCCTGTTTGCAGATGACATGAAGCTATACAAAGGGAAACAAAAAGACTCCACTTAGAGACTATAGGAACTCATAAGAGAGTTTGGTAAAGTTGTAGAACATAAAATCAATACACAAAAATCAATAGCCTTTGTATACACAGACAATGTTATGCTAAGAAAGAATTTTTAAGATCAGTGTCATTCACAATAGTTACAAAAAAATTTAAATACCTTAGAATAAACTGAACCAAGGAGGTCAAAGATCTCTATGATGAAAGTCATAAAACATTAAAGAATAAAGTAGAAGAAGACACACACACAAAAAAAATGGAAAAATCTTCCATGTTCATGGATTGGAAGAATTAATATCATCAAAATGTCCTTACTACTGAGAGCAATGTGATCCCAATCAAAATACCAACGACATTCTTCTCAGATCTAGAAAAAACAATGAAAAATTTATATGGAAACACAAGATATCGTCAATAGCTGAAGCAGTCTTAACACAACAAAGCCAGTGGCATCACAATACCACATTAAGATATACTACAGGGCAGTTATAGTCAAAACTGCCTGGTACTGGTATAAAAACAGATATGCAGATCAATGGAACAGAACAGAAATCCTAGAAATTAATCTATGTATCTACAACCAACTAATCTTTGACAAACAAGCTAAATCAATCAGTGGAGAAAGGATAGTCTTTTTAACAAGTGGGACTGGGAAAATTGAAATTTCATGTGCAGAAGTATGAAACAAGACCCCTACTTATTATACAAAAATCAACTCAATGTATCCAAATCTAAATCTATGACCTGATACCATCACATTATTAGAGGAAAGTATCAGGGAAACTCTGGAAGATATTGGCACAGGCAAAGACTTCTTGGCCTCAAAAGTACAGGCAACAAAAAGCAAAAATAGGCAAATGGAATTACAACAAGCTAAGAAGCTTTTGCATTGCAAAGAGAAAACTCCACAAAGGGAAGAGGCAACTGACAGAATGGTAGAAAATATTTGCAAACTATGCAACTGATAAAAAATTAATATCCAGGATCTATAAAGAGCTCAAAAACTCACCAACAAAACAACGACTCCAGGTAAGAAATGGGCAAGGGATATAAACAGGCATTTTTCAAAGGATAAAATTCAAATGGCCAACACACACACACACACAC